GAGGGGTGAAAGGCACAAAGGGAATGGGGAAAAAAGTAAGAACCAAGATACATCATGTACAGGTACAAGCACCCAATGATAAATGTAAATGTACTGTATACCTAAAATGTACCAATAAAAGAATTAAAAAAAAAAAAGCTAATGTGCAGGGCCAGGGATTTAATTCAGTGGTGCCGCTGCCTGCCTTGCAAGTTAAAGGTTCCAAGTTTGATCCCCGTACTACTAAAAAAAAAAAAAAAAAAAGCTAATGTGGAGAAGGGGGAAATCAATATATATTACAGTTTTATTACAGACTTAAAAAGAAAATTTCAAATATTGTACAGTGAGGTGTGCTGAACACTATACAGTTATACTACTACCAATTATTATTTAAATATATTATATACCACAGTCACAAAATCAGAAAATAATGGGTAACAACTAATGTCATAAGGATGATATGACATCTATAGGATTTTGCTGAGTGGTTAAAGCACTATTTAATTTTTTCTAAATATTTACACTATTACCATTTATTTTTACGTATTATAAATAGCATTTCCTCCAAAAAGTAGACTCTCTAGCGTTAGTACTAATTCTTGAAGTCAAATAAACCTAAAAATATTGATAACCTTTTCAATCCTTTATTGCTCTACCACAGGGACAAATGCTCAGGAAGGGATTTCTGTGTTCTAAAGAAAAGAATGCAATACCTTAAAATTTAAAATATATGGAATTGATACAGGCACATAACATCAACTAAAACCTTTTTTCTTTACTAGTTTTTTGTTTTCTTTTACAAGAGAATTATCACTGTATTAATATTATACTACAAAAGCATGTAGACTCCATAATTTAAAATTTAAATGTCAGATATACAAGTAATGGCATTTTCTCCAATAATTCAGTTTTTATAATTTCTTTTTTGGAATAAATGTTAAAATTCTCATAATTTAAGAATTAAATATGAGCTGAAAAACTGAGCATCTCAAAGATTTATCAAGAATGTCAGAACTTGCAATTAACTTTATTAACTTGACATTGGTGATATATCTGCCCTTTGTTATTTATTCCTTAAATATGTATTTTACTGTGGTATATTTTCATAAGTAGTTATTTGAAAATTAATTTCTTATAACTGTGAAGAACCTCAGGGTTGTACAATTTTGTTAAATTATAAACTTTGAAAGTAAAACATATCTACCCAATTTAAAATATGTACCTTACTATTATTGTAATAAAGTCATTTTAAACCCCTAGTAAGATGAGTGGAATTCAAACCAATTCTGCAAAAGCTTTGCTATTATGAAAATTTTGAGATGGAAAACTTGCTTTGAAACTCACAAGACTCTCAAAATCACGCTGCAATATTTTACTGTGGGCCAATTAAGATTACTTTTGATTGCCGGGGATTTAGCTCAGTGGTTCTGCCGCCTGCCTCGCAAGCCCAAGGACCCAAGTTCGATCCCTGGTACCAAAAAAAAAAAGATTACTCTTGAAAAATGAGGACCAGGGCTGAGGATTTAGCTCAGTGGTTCCGGCGCCTGCCTTGCAAGTGCAAGGTCCAGAGGAGTTCGATCCCCAGTACCAAAAAGAAAAGAAAAAAAAAAGAGGATCAAACTATATTGATATTCTGAAACAAGCATTTTATATTATCAATATACTGACCAGCTGAAGTATAATTAATGACAGAATTACAAGTTTAATTCATGCCTAAAGGTTAGTGATTAGTGTAGTGTAAGTATTTAAATGTTCACTAGTAGACTAATACTTTAGTAGCTAACTACAATATTGTTACAAACTTTCCCTTTAGTAGCTAACATGTGATATGGCAGTAAAATTTTCAGAAAAACTGTCATTAGTAGTATGTGAGTTGCTAGCAAGTCATCTTCCCTGAGGTAACAGACCATATGCAAAAGACACTGCTCACCTACAATAATGTTAATACCTCAAAAAGAATAGCAAGCTGGGTATGGTGGCATGTGGCTGTAACTCTAGCACTCTGGGAGGCTGAGACAGAAGGACTGCATGTTCAAGCCCAGCCTGGGCAACTTGGCGACTTAGTGAGAACCTTGTCTCAAAATTAAAAATAAAAAAGGGCTGGAGATGTAGCTTAGTGTGAAAGCACTGAGTTAACTCTCCAGGACAGCAATTTTTAAAGAAATGCAGTTAAGGACATGTGATTGGAAATATCTTAATTGGAAGCAGCAACTTTGATTATAAGAATATATAAAGCAAATTTAAGTCAAGAGCATTTACTAAATTTCTAGGCCTCTATCCTAACACTTTCCAATAAAATACCTGAAACATTATTAAAGGGGGAGAAGGGATGAATTTTTGGCTTGCTCTTTAGTTCCTGAGTGGCCAGTCCTTTGGAGTTATATACTGTCTCCTAATATTTGACAATGTCTTATTTAATTTAGTTACAACCATTTTCTCATTTCCAATATTCGCAACATATGCCGTATTCAACTTTACCTGGACTTTGGATAATCAACTTGAATTTGATATGATTATAATGAGCAGAAAGAAAATTACAGTATTTCAATGTTCAATGAAATACTACAGATAGAATTCAATTTTAGGATTGAATAACAGTGATAATGTTATATCTAGGACTAAACAAATATTTTAATTGATTGAGATCTCCAGTTTGGACTCAAACATGCAGCAATATCACAAAATGTTAGGATACTAAAAAATAATCATTCTACAGTCATATAACCAAACATAAGGGATATTTAAAACTTAAAGAAACCCTGTTCTAAAACTTGTTTAAAAGGATACCTGGCCCACTTATTAAAAATCATTAATAAGGGCTGTGGGTGCAGCTCAGAGGTATAAAGTACTTGCCTTGCAAACATGAGGCCCCAGATTCAATATTCGGCCCTGAAAAAAAATTATTCCATTTATACTTCAGCTGATTTAAAATAATTTTAAGAAATCTGATCACTTCTCCAAATGACGCCTTTTTTCTTTACTAAGGTGGAATCTGAACTGTTATTGTAATATTCACACCTAAGTAGCTTCTAACTAGCGGTGTTGTCATTAATAAAATATTGTCAGAGATTAAGTGCATCTTCTAACATTCACATGTACATTATACTTCACACTAAATTTAAGTATTTAATAGGGAGGTAAAATTTGTTTGATATTTTTCCTAAACATAGCAAGCCATGGATGAAAATATTTATTAAAGATGATAATATAGTCTGGAAATAGTTCATTTTTTGCTTACTGAACAGTTTTCCTGTACTTAAATCCAACCCTTCCCTCTGAAAAAAGGGAAAAATGTTTTAGCGGCAAAAAAAAAGCCAAAAATATTTGAAATAGTTAGTGAAGTGATATTTATAATTTTTATTTAATACAGAAGCTGGCTATGCTAAGTGTTAAATATTTGGTATTTCTCTTACTTTATAGAAAACCAGTGCATAACAGAAAAGTCCTAAATTTTCCTGTTTTGATATAGAGAATAATGTTTGAAAGTAAATTTAGAAGTGGAAGAATGGAGATAAAATATTGCAAAGAAAAATATATGATAAAAACTAACTCAAATACATGTATCTTATACCTATGAAATGTTTAACTTCTTCATTCTTTCCTTATTCAAAATGGAGTATTTAATATGTGGATTTAGAGACATTTCATAGAAAAAAGATCAAAACCTCCCTTACTGGAAAAACAAGTGTTGTCTATATCTTTTATAAATCAATAGGCAGAGACCTTTGAACACCTGATTGTATGCTTTCTGATGTACATTTTCATGGAACTGCAAACAGTTCTGCACCTGTTATAATGTGCAAACAAAAAAAGCCAGGCTTTGAATGCTCTGAGAAAGAAATTGTATTAACTTACATTTTGTCTTTCATCCATTCAAATTCAACTTAATTTCAGTGAACAGAGGGAGACAGATTGAAATGTACATTTCAGAATACAGATCTGCAGAACAGGATAATATAATGCAATACCAATCTTGAGATAAACACTTTTGTCTCTAAGGAATAAGCATGAAAGCTGCTTCTCAAGGAACTGGCACTAAAGAGTTAATGAATACAATATTTAAGCAAATGCTGAGTTGATCAGGGTATGGTGCAGTAAAATTTGCATCCAAATCCAAGTGAAGCCAACAAATAAAGAAAATCTTATGGACTCTAATAAAAAAGGACCTTTTTTTGGTTCAGAGGGGCTCAAAGACACTTAGCATATATAGGCATAAATACCACTGATCAAAATGTAACTCATTCATAAACATAAATTCTTATTTATAAATTCTCTATAAATCTGACATATTCTGAAAATTAGAAATTAACTACTGCTACCATTATTTTTAAATTTTCTACCACAATTTACAATCAACTCTTCTATAAGATTAAAAAAAAATTAGGTGGCACTTGAACCAGGCCAGGATTCAAAAAATAATGGTAACATATTATCCACAGACCACACAATTGGCCATGTTGGCTCAGACAGCAACTAACTGAATCACATTATCATTCTAGAATACGTATTTTTCCCCAATATTGTTCAAATCAGCAAAATGTTATTTCATTACACACTCTTCTCAAGATGTTTTTGCCAAGAACAGCTATTTCTATGAATGTATTTATGTTCACAAAAATGTCAGTATCACTAATAAAATCATTTTGTGAATTTTAAAATATAATCTAGTTTAGATAACCTTCAAATTTACATAAATTTTTGACACTCTAATAATGTAGGATGGTTATCCTGATAACATCAACATTAGCAAAATCTCATTTCCTCCCCAGTTCTGTCTTTTCTGAAATCATACATTTTTAGCACAAGAATTTTCATTTTTGAAACATTTAAGACTTTCATGGAACTGAAATCACAGTGAACTTCCAATGAACCACAGAAATGAAAGAAACTTATCTCAGCAGATCTAAATATCTACTTTATGGGAATTCAGAGCCAGCCTGGGCAGCAGTATATTAAAAGCTATTGCCAATCACACACTTGCTATCATGCACTGAATAACAAGGTATAATCTTTGAATTATATATGTACAAGATTTTAAATGACTAATCAAGTTATGTGGCCCAGCCAACAAATATTACATATTCACAATAAACACTCTGCCTTTATTAGTGCCTAATTAAATCAAGAATGATCCATTGGCTCAGTTGTATTAGTCATCTCAGCATCTTGACTATCCATTTCTTCAGGTTCCTCCACAGAATTTTCCTTTTGTGCTTTTGACCTTGTGGAAAATGCTGCCCCCAGTGTATCTGCCACACAGCTATCAGTTGTTTCTGTATTCAAATTTTCAGTACCACCGGTTAAAGGAAAAGATTCAGGCAAGTCAATCTGAAGATTCCCAGACTTCATAGAAGAACTTATAACTTCGACTTTTCTCTGAGGAAGATCAGATGGTGAATGCTCTGTACTTTGATCCCGCAAGTGCTTGTCCATTGAAGCCTGAATAGAAGAAACCATTTCCTGCAATTTTTTTCGCTGGGCCTCAACCAAATCAGGATCAAGCTGCCTGCTGTCTCGCATTGTTACTACTCCAGGTGCCATTCGAATAAGCTCACTGTTACTAGGAGCAGCTGTGAATGCAGGAGGCTCTGTTTTAGTGGAACTGTTACTAAAGTCTGACCCTGTATTATGCTTTCTTACAACTGGAATTTCCCTAGCTCTTAGATCAAGGTGTGGGTTACTGGATGCAGTTCCTAGAGAATGCCCCTTTCCCTGAAAGGCCGTTACATTATGAAGTTGCTCAGATTTCTTTTTTACTACTCCACCACTACCTAGTTTTAACAGCCCGTGTGAGGGACTTGATTCCCTACTTCTTGTAGTCGCCTCTGCTCGAACCTGACTTACAGCCTCTTTCACTAAATCTTCAACATCAGGACCAATGGGAAAATGTCCTGCAGCATCCACACACAACTCCAGTCTATCTTCAGAAGCATTATAAACAAAGGTTTTGCCAGGTAGATGTGGAAAAGTGCAATGCTTGCCATCAGCCATACCTAAAGAAAGGGAAAAGATATTTAATACAGTAAAAGCTTAAGGTATTAGCAAAAGTGTAGTAAACAACATTATAGTTAAAATAGTGAATTTTCAGTAATCATGTATAGATACTGGGTTTCAAAACAAGATCAATAGAAAATAATTTTATTATAAAGAGAATATCATCACTGACATTAAATAAGTTCCTCCAGGGGATTTTTTTTTTCCTTAAATCATTATCCTACTAAGCACCTGCCTCTAATCCCAGCTACTTGGAAGGCTAGTGGAGGAGATTAAAAGTTCTAGGTCACCGAGGGCAATTAAGTCACTTCATGAGGCCCAGTATCAAAATAAAAAATAAACAGGGTGTGGTGGCATGTGTCTATCATCCCCCCACTTGGGAGGCCGATGCAGGAGGACTGCAAGTGCAAGTCTACCCTGGGCTACCTGGCATGTTTAAGGCCAGCCTGAACAACATAGTGAGACCCAATCTCAAGGCCCCATCCCACTCCCAAAAAAGGATGTAGGTGGGATGTAGCTCAGTGGTAAAGGCTTGCTCAGCATGCACAAGCCCTTGAGTTCAATCCTCAATACGCACTGGGGGGAAAAAAAAAATCACAAAAATCAAAGAAGAATTTTCTCTTGACACACCCTGAGTAGAAAACTGACGGAAATAGACATATAAAAATGAAAGCCACTGGAGTTGTAGCTCAGTGACAGAGTGTTTGCCTAGTATGCACAATGACCTGGGTTCTATCCTCAGCACAAACACACAAAAAAATCAGAGATGTGGTTTAAGTAGTACTTTTCTAGGCACATCTACAATCAGTTTACCATCTCCCAATCCCCTACCTTATATATGGATAAACCATGGCTCTACAAATGAAGATAGCAAAGAAGAGAATTTTGTAAGGCTAGGAAGGCTTTTTTTTTTTCCCATTAAGTTTACTGGTACATTTTAGGTATAAAATACATTTACATACATCACTGGGATCTTGTACCATTACATGAGTATCTTGGTTCTTATTTTTTCCCCTTTCCCCTGCCCTCCCTTCACCCCCTCCACCCTTCCCTATTTGAAAAGATTTTGTTTCCATTTTTTTCGTTTTCTCATATTTTTTCTTTTCCTTTCTTTCCTTTCCCCTACCCCTCCCGCTTCCCCTGCTCCTTTAGACTTTTACTTCCTATTACACAATATCAATTATACATTTTTAAAATTACAATATCAAGATCTAGGAGATATTACCACAGATTTTACAGAATTTAAAAGGATATAGAAAGCATATTTCAAAAATCTGTTTTG